AGGCATGGAAGTTCCAGCACTCGAGGAAGCCATGAGCCTGCTGGAAGTGTACGAGAATGAAGAAGGACAAAACTCCAACGATTGCAATGAAAATTAAGTGGTTATGTGTCTAATAAAGCAATTTCTACAGGCTTGTGTGGAGACTCATTGAGGAAAGCCAGGCTGATAGGCACCGGGCTCTGGGGCTTAACGAGCATGTTTCTGCAGCTGCAGGCACCTAGCCTACCAGGGCTTGTGATTCGCTCACTTCCCCCGAAAAGACCCGAAAGAACCGCTTAGAATCACCGTGGAAGGGGACGTTTGGCCCGCTGATCAGCCAAGAAGAACCGTCCCTGCCCAGGGAGTGGGGAATTTAATTCCAAACCCCCAGAAAAATCTCAGTCTAAGGGCCTTCTGGCCTTTGTCCTGTCCTCGATGGGGATGGGAACACCCAGGGGGGTGGGGGGACCCCTCCATGCTAGGGTGCCGATGGGTGGTGGTCATTGTGCGACCTCAGTTTGGAGGGGTGACTCCTAGAGATTGAGCCCAGGAATACGCCCTCCAGGCTTCCTGGAGCACAGTGCCACACACTTGCAGGTTTTAGGATTTTTGCCTAGGTGTTTAGCCCACCTGGTTAGACTGTTTCTATATAAACCTAGGTGGAGCCCACGGGGCAAGTCCCAGATGTCCCTGTTACACAGTGCCTATTGTTAAAACAGTCACCTTTTCAAACCGTGTTGAGAGTTTTCCTCTCACGCTGACCGCCCACCTTTACAAAGGACTGTTCTAACAATGTGCCCAGAGTATGTGAGCCAAAGTGTCACCATCCTTGCCTCCATAGTGGCTGCACTTTCTCCAGGACATTTTTCATCTTTTGGCAGTGCATGAGATATTCAGTACTATTCTCCAGCACCACAGTTCAAATATACACACAACTGAATTATACACATAAGGTTAGAGAAATAAAACCACAAATAACAGTGGATTCCACCTGAAAACAATAGAAGCTTCCATTCAACTTAGCTTTTAATAATGTAAGACTTAACTATGGCAATCCAAACTTTATTGAACTACTGATGTTAATAATAGAAGTATGATTTTAATTAAGGCTTTTAACTTATACCTAACCATCTAAAATACATGTAAGTTTATAAGTTTAAAATAGAAATATTGTAGCTCTGACAGATATACCCTGTCATACAAAAGAATAAGTCATATTAAAGTAAAACAGCAACAGTTAATTGCAATGTAGACCTCGTGACCAACTTGCACATGATTAAAATCACTTTCCACTTTCACATTCATAGTACTCAGGCAGCATTTAATATTTCAAACAAAATGTGACACGTGTGAAACAATCACAAGCAAAACCACGACATTTATATGTTTAGTTCTGCAAAAATAATTATGCATATGCAAGCATAGGATTTACAGAAGCTAAGGTGCGCCTGATACAGGCCATGGTATTTGCAATCGCTTGTTATGCATCAGAGAGTTGGACAATGACTAGGGAGGACAGAAGGAGAGTTGGAGCTGTGGTGCTGGAGAAGAGTACTGAATGTACCATGGACTGCCAGGAAAACAAACAGATTCATCTTGGAGAGGATTAAACCAAGCTACTCCTTGGAGGCAAGGATTCTGGGGCTTCGTCTGACATACTTTGGACATGTTGCCAGGAGGGACGGGTCCTTGGAGAGGGACATCATGCTTGGGCGGGTGGAGGGACGGCGCAGGAGGGGAAGACCCTCTATGAGATGGATTGACTCGGTGACTGGGTTAATCGGGATGGGTGTGTCAGAGGCAGTGCGGTTGGTGCAGGGTAGAGCAGGGTTTAGGGCTGTTGTACATAGGGTCGCTATGAGTTGCAAACGACGGCACATAACAACAACAAAGCTACAGAAGTCTGAAAAGGATTTAAAGCATTGGAAAATAACTCGAACATAAACACTTTTAAACGTTGTTCCTTAGGGAACATAAAATTTAAGGTCTAGGCATTTCCTTACCAACTAATAGGAAAAGCAACATTATTGAAACTTCCTGAATAGACTAATTTTAAAAAGATTTTTTTAAACCTATATAAAACCCAACACCAATCTATATAATTGTGTTAATCAAGGTGTACAATTGAATGGTTTTCCAAAATTCAAATGCAATGTTGATTGCCATTGATCACAACTCATAGTGACCCTATGAACAAAAGGCCTGAAAGTGATCTCAAATTTCTAAATAATTGCAATACGCTGCAAGTATCAAAGTTATCTGGAGAAGCAAATACAGGAGCTCTTTAGAATTCCTTTCAATACGCAAAAATTGTGGTTTTAGATTTTACAACACTGTCTAGTGTGAATTGATACATACTTTATTTCCATATGAGAGCAGCAATGATGAAGAGTATCTTACAGAAGTCAGACAGGATCTAACCAGTCAAACACTTAGATCAGTCCTATACTTTTGCTTGGTGCAGTCTGGCTGACTTTGATGAAAAACAACCCCTTGTACAACAGAATGCTCATATGCTATCCTTATAATCTTTGCTGTGCTTGAGCCATTGTTTCAGCAATTTTATCAACTTTTCTCTTTGAAGTTCTTCTTTTAATGCTGACTTTTGTTGGCATGATGTCCTTTTCTTGGACTGGCTTCTCCTGTTAATATGACCAAAGGAGGTGAAATGGTCTTGCTTTTAAGTATTCTGTCTGCACTTCTTCCTAGGCAAATTTGTTTTTTAGGCAATCTTTCTGAGTTTTGTATAGGTAAAAATAATTTCGTGATACTGGAAAGTGATAGAATGTGCAAATTGACATAGAAGTTTCCATCCACCTCTTATTAAAGTATACAATTCATTACAGCAAAGCCTATTTAAGGATCATGTAAGATAATCAAAGTTGGAATTCAAACATTAAACTGAACACCAATTCTTCAGACCTGGCTTAGAATGACAATGTATTATTTAGTATATATGAGTCTCTACAAATTATATATAGGAAGTGGATGCCACTCCTGCTATATGTATTTGTGTATACACACACACAGACACACACACATATGTTGCTGCTGTTATTGATGGCCATCGAGTTGAGTATGACTCTTAGCAACTCTATGAGCAAAACACCAAATGGCTTTCCATAACTATCGTTGTTTCTCCAAGTTCATAGAGTTTCCATAGACATGTGGTTTAGGACGTGGATGCCACTCCTGCTTCCAAATCTATTTTATAACTGGGAACGCCACCACTGTCCATATTGGGAAACCATTATGGAATTAACACCCCAATGGCACAAGGTTCAGCATCACGGCATATCCAGATTACCTCAGGACAGCAAATTGACAAAGAGTGATGTACAAAGTAGAAGACTATTCCTCCAAATATAACAACACTAGTCTCACTTAGCAGTGATTAAGTTTCCTAAGGTTGAATACAACTCATAGTGACCCTATGAACAAAATATCCAAACTCTCTTCTATATTAACAACATTTCTGCAAGTTTGCAGAGTTTCTATATGTTGTTATGTGCTGTCAAGTCGCCTGCGACTCATAGTGACCTTATGTACAACAGCTCTGAACCCTGCTCTATCCCTTGCCAATCTTACTGTCTCCGACACACCTATCACCATTACCGAAGTCATTGACTCTATCCATCTCATCGAGAGTCTTCCTCTCCCAAGCTGTCCCTCCACCCTCCCAAGCATGACATCCATTTCCAAGGACTGACTGATCCCGCCTTGCAACATGTCCAAATATGTCAGATGAAATATCAGAATCCTTGCCTTCAAGGGGCAGTCTGGCTTCATCCTCTGCAGGACGAACTTGTTTGTTCTCCTAGTAGTCCATGATACATTCAATACTCTTCTCCAACACCACAACTCAGACACATCAACTCTCCTTCTATCATTCCTAGTCATTGTCCTGCTCTCTGAAGCATAGCAAATGATTGTAAAGACCATGGCCTGTGTCAGGTGCACCTTAGTTTCCAAACTGACATCCTTTCTCTTCAGTACTTTGGAGAGGTCTCAGACAACAGACTTCCCCAATGCAATTAATCTTTTAATTTCCTGGCTGCTGGTACCAAGAGGGTTGATTGTGGAGCCAAGCAAACTGAAGCTGTCAACAATCTCAATCTCTTTACCAGGTATCATGATGCTGCCAATCAGCCCAGAGGTGAGAATCTTTGTTTTCTTGATGTTGAGGTTCAATCCATATTGAAGGCTGCAGTCCTTGACTGTGTGCAGCAAGCACCTTCAGGTCCTCCTCAGTTTCAGCAAGCAGAGCTGTGTCATCTGCATAATACAGATTGTTGATGCATCAAGTCTTCCTCCAATCCTGTTGCCACATTTCTCCTCATAGAGCCCAGCCTCCCAGATAATCTGTTCCACATGCATATAGATTGAAAAGATATGCCGATAGGACACATCCTTGATACACACACTTCCGGATTTTGAACCATGCAGTGTTTCCTTGCTTTGTTCTGACAGCCTCCTGGTCCAAGTATAGGTTTTGCATAAGCACAATCAAGTGTTCTGGGATTCCCATTCTTCTCAGAGTTAGCAACAGTTTTTTGTGGTCCACATAGTTAAATGCCTTTGCATAGTCAATAAAACACAGACATTCTTCTGG